TCTGCTCCTCCAGTCTGAGCATCCGGACCAGAACCCTTCCATGATAGTGAGATTTGGAAAGGGAAGCTCTCATTGACCTTTACAAATCAAAGGTGTTAAGAGGTCAGCTGTGTTCAAATATAGAAAGAGGAAAAGGGCATGACATTGACTATACCACTTGCAGCAACAACGATGGGAATATGAGGAACAGAAAAGGTAGAAAGAAAAATATCCCATCAACGAAACTGATAAAAAGTAAGAGCTCCAAATCAAACTACAATACAATCAAATGCTAAGTAATGAACCATGTAAATGAACAGATGAGATAACACTCAATACAGACAACAAAATTTATCATAAGTAGAAAATTACCTGAAAATCTCGAACTTTGAATGTGGGACTGAGAATTGCACATTCTAAAGCACAACCCCTTGCAACACATTCACTAGCATTCATTGTGCGTTTAGGCTCTTTACCAAAGAACTCTGTGAGGATTTTCAGAATAGCAGGAACACGAGAGGCTGAGCCAACAACCTCAACCATATGAACATTTTCAAAAGCAAGTCCAGCATCAGCAATCGCTTTCTCAAGTGGCCTTTTCACACGTTGCAAAATTGGAGCACTGATCTGCTCAAACTCCTCTCTCTTAATGAAACCCCTGACATCCTTCTCATCCATCAAGCACTCAATATTCAAAGGTGCCTCAGGATTGGCACTAAGCACCTTCTTTAGCTTCTCACAAGCTGCCCGGAGCCTAATACAAGCCCTAGCATTCTGGAAGACGTCAATCTTGTATTCCTCTTTAAATTTTGCAGCAAAATGCTGAAACAGAACTTCATCAAAATCTCTACCACCCAAAGAGTGGTCAAATGAATGAGCTAAGATCTTGAGTTGCCCCTTCTTGAAGGAAGCAATACAAACTTGCATACTAGCATGCCCAATATCAACAAAGGCAACATTTAATGGGTCATTTTCAGGTAAATCAGTTTTATAGATACCATAAGCCAATGCTGTTGCTGTAGTTTCATGAATCAAGCGAAGGGGGTGCAAGCCTGCAATTGTGGCAGCATCTAATACAGCCCTTCTTTGAAGATCAGTGAAGTATACAGGAACTCCAATGCAGCAATCCACCACAGCTGCATTCAGATTCTTCTCGGCTATGCTTTTCAAATTCGACAAAACCATTCCAAAACTTGGGTTGGGGTAAAAGCTCTCATTTCACCTAAATATCGAGCATGAATCAAAGGATATCCATCAGGGCCCTCGGTGACATTGAAGGGCAGTGACTTGAGATCTCTTTGCAACTCGTGATCTGAGAACTGACGGCCAATTAACCTCTTTATCTGAGAAATTGAATTCTTAGGATTCATTGTAGAAGATGCTGCCCCTGCAGTACCAATGAATCTCTGCTTGTCCCCAAAGCAAACAATAGCTGGAGTTTCACGCTTTGATTCATCATTAAGAACGACATCAATTCCTCTCTGCCTCGCAACAGCAACAATGCAGCTCTCATTGCCAAAATCAAACCCAACAACGCTCATTTTCAGCAGAAATTACACGACTTTACTATATCAATAAAATCAATCTGGCATCCAAGAAACCAAAAGGTAATAAGAATATATGTATATATGTATGTATGTGTATGTATACATACGTACATAGAAATATTAAGCAGGAAACCTAGCTATTGGTGCAACTGCACATTTAATAAATAACATATGCACCAATCACAGTGATATAAGTATATTCTCATTTATAATGAGCAAAAAATTACTGCTCAAGACTCCAAGTCAAATTCAATGGGCTTGCGTTCATGGTGTCAGAAAATATAGCTAATGGAGCATAATTGCAGAATTAATAAGTAACACATTGCATCGATCACAGTCATATCAGTATATTCCCATTTTTAGGAGCAAAAAATTGCTGCTTAAGATTCCATGGGCTTGAGCTCATAGGGTGATTGCTCTTAAATACATACAATAAGGATCACTTTAAGATTCAATAAACATTCCCCCTCTTTGTTCCCATTTTAAGACTCATATGGAGTTTATCATTCACAAGAACACAAACCAAATAAGGCTCAGAGGCAAGTGCTACCTACATCTAAGCGGAGATACAACAACCACAACACTTAAGTTGAAAAAACCAAAAAAAAATTAAACAAATAAAAAAGTAATGCACAAACATAAATCAAACAATTGTAAACCAACTCTAAAACTTTAACAATCACATTTCAACCCAAAATGAACAGTCCTTTTTAACTAAAATTAATCAGAAATGAAAATTGCTTGCATTGACAAACTATAAATCGCGTTCAAATCAACCTAAGATTACTACTTCAAACGTCAAAGAAATTCCTACGGGAAAAAATGAGTTGAATATGAAGAACAAATAGAAATCAAATAAGAAAACTACCTGATTCTCTGGAAACAGCTAAATCTGAAGACAAACAAATATCTAAGCGATTTTTTCACAACGCGCCAAATCTAGAACGAAACAGATCTACAATTTACGACGGAAAAAGTAAAATGCAACAGCAACAATTAAAGAGATCGACAGAACTGCAAAGTGCAAAGGCGGGCGATCGTACCTTCAAAGGGTAGACTAGAGCCCAAAGGAGTACTGCAAATATTTTTTATGCGTTCAAGATAGAGCCTCACGAAGCCAAAAGAGAGTTGAGGGGGCGCTTTATTAATGAGGGTTTGTGTGGAATTTTCGATTTTTTTTCTAAATAATAAAAACTGCTAGATTCATTTTGGGGTTTTATTTTATAAAGGTTTGAGCGAGTTCATTCATGGAATTTAGTGGACCAACCACGACTAGAGATCTCTAGAGATTCTAGCTTCTAGAAAGATCTCCACAAAGCAGACTCTTTTGAATTCTTTAGGGTTGCGCTTTCATTTGGGTTTCTGATTTTTTTTCTTCTTTTAAATGGAAATGGGTTTTTTATGAATATCGTGATTGCTTATTTGAATTGGAGGCATGCTTTAGGGATACAAATGGCAAAAAAGTTCGAATTTCTAGGGGTAAAATTTGATATTAGCCCCTGTACCTTTTTAATTGTGTGGATTTAATCATCATTTTTTATTTGTAGAAAAACAATTCCTTTATTTTTCAAATAGTTCATTTCCAACTCCTTAGTCAACTTTATTTTTGTTATTCATTTTTTATTGTTGACTTTAAGAAATCTTATATCACATAAACTAAAACTCATTTTGAAAGAACTCCCGTTCACATTCAACAACTACTCACACCCAACCGTTTTCAGTTAAAATCTCATAGTTAATAATTGAGTGATCGCATTAAGTGGAAAAAATTGAATCATCTTTCCAGTATTAGTTAATAGTTGGATGATCAAAATAGCAAAGTAATTAAAATGTAGATGTCATTTTGAAAAAAAAAATATAATTATAAAAAAATTTGGATTTATCCTCGGCCTTTGAGAATTTATGGAAGGACTCCCTTCGGGATAAAGCCCTATAATTTTTAGTTTTCACAATTTTCTCATTTATTAACACCACTTTAAACTTATTAACTCCTTTAAAATAAACCCTAGATATTGAAAGAAAGCAGGTTAAATATCATTAATATTCAAGCTTACCTTGCTAGACATATTCAATCTGTCAAAATTTTATTTTTTTTACAGTAGAGGTAGAGGTCTAAAATATTATTATTCAAAGACTTAATGAAAGTATTGGTTATTTGATGTAAAGTGTTTATATATTCTATAACTACATTTCTTTTAGGGTATAATCTCTAATAAAATATTATCTAATTTCAATGTGTTTAATCATAAAATGTTAGATAAATGATTTGGAATTATTACACTTCATAGGAATAGTATCAATATCAATTCCATAGTTCATGAGTTGTTTCATTCATGAAATGTATACACAATGACTATCAATTAAAATGTATTGTGTCTCGATAGTTGATAACGCAACTAATATATTTATTTGAAAATCATGAAATTAACATGTCAAGAAATTGACATCTACCGAATGTGCTTTTCTATCTAATTTACAACCTTTAAAATCACATCTGATAATATATGCAAATTAAAATTTAAGTCTCTAGGATAGCAAATATCAATGTCTCTAATGCATCAAAATATCCTCTTAATGGTTTGTAAATGAAATTCACGAAGACAAAATTTATATCTAACACACAATCAAACATTAAATATTATATTTGATTTACTTACGATAAGATAAATAAAGAGCCAATAATTGACATGTATAATTTAACATATGCATGTTTATAATCATATTTTTGTCAAACTTTATAGTTCTATGAGTTTTGAAATCCTCCGACCCATAATTTTTGAACATTTTCCTTATGTTCTTAGTTTGATAGATGAAGATGTCATTTCCCTTGATTTAGAGTCTCAAAAAGAATGAAAGCCTACCATCATGTTCATTTCAAATTCATCATACATAAACTTATTTACTTATAAAGTCGTGAAGATTTTTTTATTCTCGTAATTTATTTATCAAGTAATTTGAGAAAGTACAATAATAATATTTTTATTCTATTTAGGCTTATGTTCAAATTAAGGGGCTGTTTGTTTGGCTCTGAATGGAACCATTCAGTGCTGAACGTTGAACCATTCAACATTCAACGCGTTTGTTTTTCATCTCTGAATGATTTAGTGCTGATTGATTCAGCAAAACAGTGTTGAATGATTCAACACATAAGTGCATTTTGAATGATTCAGAGCCATTATCAAACAACATGTCACATTCAGAGCTAATTCACACAGAGCCTCTGAATCATTAAGCGCTTAATCATTCTGAAATAAACAAACAACCCTAAATCTGCCTATCGTCCAATATTAGTTGTAGACCTCTACTGTAAAAAAAATATTTTTTTTGACAAATTGAATATTTCTTGCAAGGAAAGCTTGAATAATAATGATATTTAACCGGCTTTCTTTCGGTATCTTAGATTTGTTTTAAAGGAGCTAATATATTTAGTGTGGTATTAATTATAGATAAAATTTTAAAAATTAAAAATTGTAAGACTTTACCCCTAAGGTAGTCCTTCCAAAAATTCTCAAAGGCCAAGGATAAACCCGGGCCTAAGAAGGGGTTTGGAAATAATTTTCAACCAGTAATAGACGCGCCTCGGTTATTAGCTAACTGGCTACGCCATTGTCCCAAGCACAAAGATGCTTATCACATTGTTTATTATCTCCGTTTTATAGTAGATGCAAGACTCGTCAATTTATTCTCCAACCGGTATGGAAATTCCTATTAATTGACAATCTGTCTAATATGAGCATCCGAAAACCTCCTCTTCATCTACGAAAGATGCAGTTATTAGTCTTCCGGATTCTTCAACTTCCTTCTCTAATATGAGCATTTTTTTAATTTCATTTAATATGATTTTTTTTATTAATATAAATAAGTACAAGATAATATTGAACGCTCACACTCCGGACCTCTAATAGTAATCTTTTACTAAGATTTTTTTTATTAATTTGGGGTAAGTACAATATAATATTTGTTCAAAGACAACTCTTAATCATTTGACATTCAATGCTCGTAGGTCTAACATTCCCGGTGCTCGAACTCGATACTTCAAAGAATAACAACAATTACATTACTATCGAAGTCATTGGGGTTCATGCTCACTTACTGACTATTATGATATCAAATCTGGCACTAATTGTTAACTTTTAATTTCTTCAATTATAATATTGAATTTTAATGTTAACTTCAATATGTCATTGGACCGCTAAAATTCAAATTGCGTGATGACGTGAACAAAACGTTGTTTTGACGAAGACGATTACTGCTCAAAACAACATCATTTTGCATTGCATTTTTCGATCGTCACCGGCAACCAAGCACCGACTATTACTGGTTTTCTTTCATGGCAAGATTGATACAAAAAAGGTTAACATCTCACACCTCTTTCTATCTATGATTGCTTTTCTACGAAACTCACTTTAAATCGAAAAAAAAAACAAAAAAAAACTATAATTTTTAGGGGTTTAAGGACTTTCTTAGATTTGAGGTGTTTGTTTGAAAATTCAAATGGTGAGAAATATTATTTCGGGAAAACGAACAACATACCTCAAATCCAGTCTCATCAAACAGTCATTGTAAGAGATCAAAGTATTAGCATGCCAAACTTTTAAATGAATTTTTGTCAATTTTGAGTGAGCTTTATGAGAAATCAAACCTAAAAAAGGAAAAAGAATGAAATGTGAATATTTTGATACTAATGTTACCGATCGATAATGAATGATGATTAACTGTGACGACTATCGAAAAAATACATAGTTAAAATTATTAATTTCTTTAAAAAAATTAATACACAATAAAAGAACTGATAATGATATTTGAGTTGATAAATATGATTACTATTTAGGTTAGGATTAAAATTTTAAATTTAAAGATTAACTAGATTAAAATATAAAAATAAATTTTGTAATTTATGTATACTATAAAAATTAATATACTTTTTAAATACTAATGGCATTAATAATTGAATATGTACCATTAAAAAATTGCAAATTGCCAAAAGGAATTTACTTTATAAAAACGGTAAATTACAATGTTCATCGCTAAACTTTACTCTCGTTCCTATTTTATTCATAAAATTTACAATTTTTTCAAATTGTTCAATAAACTTTTACATTGCTTCAATTTTGGTCACCCCGTCATTAAATAATTAACGACATTATGACATGTCACACGACATCAAAACAATGCTATTTTTAAAAACTAAATTTCTACCAAAACGATGTCGTTTTACATCTATATAAAAACCCAAAATTTCCTTCATTTTCCTTCTTCTCTTATTCTCTTCTTTTTATTCCTTCCATTTTCTCTCACCATCGTAGAATTTCGACCGTTTGTTACGATCGACCACCATCGATCACTGTCGACCGCCGTTGACAATAGCCAATAATCTCCAAATTTTTCACTAACTCATTTTGTCTCATTGAACGCAAATTTGTTGTCTATTTAACCTAAAAATCCCTTAAACTTCATGGATATAACGTTGAATCTTTTGATTTTTTTTCTTTGATCTCAATCATTCGTCATTGAACTGTCGTTCGCACTCCTCTTTTATTCATACATCACGTCCCCTCTTTTTTTATATTCTTAGTTTTCCCTTGTTTTGCTTTTATTGTATTTTTATTTTGCTCTGCTACAAGAAACTAAGCTCTGATCAATGGGACTTTAATTTGATATTTCAATGTTTTATTTATAGATATTGACTTGCCTTGTATATCTGATTTAGTGGTGTTTATAGAGGGTGTTTTCCGATGACAAAAAAAAGTTGTGGAAGCTTCAGTTGAGATAGATCATGACAATGGTAGGGTGTGACGATGGGGGTTGGAGGGTGAGGGTGGGGTTGTAATTTGGGCTTAGTGTTTAGGAACAAAATTTAAGAATTTTTATTTTAATTATTACACATCATAAATAAATATTAATAAAAATATATATTATCATTATATATTATTAAAAAAAGTCACTTCATATAGCTGTTAGAGATAAAACAGTTGGATGAGCAAAATAAATCAATGTATAAAATTTATTGAATAAATTAAAAATTTGAAAATTCAGTAAATAAAATAAAAGAGAACAAATTTCAATGAGAAATAATATAATTTATCCTATAAAATGATGCGGAGTTAGACCCTATTGGTTTGAGGCAGCAATTAATCACGCGCTAAGCGCGTGTTAAATTACTTTCTCTATTTTAGAAGCTTTTTAGGTGATTCCCCATTCCAAAAAGTCGCGTGTTTTAGGGTTAGGGCTCTTAGTTTTCTCTCTCCCCAATTTCTCTGATCTATTCTAATTTCAGGCGTTAACATGTCTTCCAAGCAAGGTAATCTCTTCTAGAATTTCGAAGATATCGACTCTGTTAGTTTCGATATTTCATATTTATTGATAGGGATTTCGGTTCGCGATTCCTGTTAATTTCAAATATATTGATTTTTGTTGTGTGGTTATTTTGGGGATATAGGTGGTAAAGCGAAGCCTTTGAAGCAACCTAAAACTGCAAAGAAAGAATATGACGAGGTATCACAATTATTGTTTATATTATTTGAATTGATCTATAATGCAGAAATAAGAAAAAAGGTTACATATAGTTGAATTGTATTTTATATGCTTTTTGTATGTATCTTTATTCGAGTATTACTTTCTCTCAAGATTTAATTTCCTCTTAGGTCTGCTTATTTGGATTTGCTATTTGTTTAGCTGCATGAAGTTAGTAAAGTAAATATCGTTTTGATACAAAATATACTAATGGAAACCATGTTAACCATATGGAATATCGAATTTTATGATAATGTAATTGTATTTGGTTTCATTTTCTTTATATCCTTTAATTTGTTTTGTGCAGGTTGATATGGCTAACATTCAGAAAAAGAAGGAAGAAGAGAAGGTGAGGTGTTGATTTTGTTACTCTTGGAGTTCTATTTTTTTTTTTGCTTTGTACAAGTATGTTCTTCGAATCATCAATTTATTTTGTTTTTTATTTATTTGTGATGGACAGGCTCTTAAGGAGCTGAAAGCAAAGGCACAAAAGGGGCCGGTTGGTGGTGCAGGACTTAAGAAGAGTGGGAAGAAATGAGGATTTAAAACTCATCAAATCACAAACTGCTGTGGCTTGTGTTTGTGAGTAAAACTTCTATTCTGATGACATCCTTTGTTTTAGTTTGATGGGCTAGGACATCATTTGGAATGATCTGATGCTCTAGTTTCATAATTTAATTTGCCGCAAAACCTTTTGTGAAAGTTCGATATTGTAAAACTTAATAAACTGAAGTTGTATACTGTTTGTGCTTTTGTGTCTGCGTTTTCATATTACCATAGCTGTGATGTCTTAATGCCTGGGTTTCCTGAACAAATCTGATTCTTAAGTGCCCTGTCCATCACTATGATTTCCCTTTTATTTCATTTAATTTGTTAAACCAAATATTGGTAATTTGTACACATGATAAATGAAGCACATAGGACTTGAGATGGCTAGCTTTATGTTCTTTGGTGAAATCTGAATCTTTTGGCTAGCTTTAGCTTTCGATTTTATCTGAGAAAGGAATAGTGTAGCTTCATTTAATATGATGGAACCATGTACTTTGGGAGCATAATTCCATGGCTAGTTATATAGAATGTTATTTTTTCATGGTTAATTGATTTATAATGATTCAAATCTGTCTTGTCTAGGCAATGCTAGAACTGCGCTAGAACATTGATCACATTGGAAAATTTTCTTCATTGAAATAAATGGTTCTTTCACCGGAAGAAAACGACCATCTCTAATCTTCTTCATGTGACACTACTGGAATCAAAATCATGTATCTCAAAATTTTCAAAAAGAAATTATTAAAGAAATCAGCTTTGAATTACGGGAATGGGTTGAATGTTTTCAGAAATGAGGAGTCCATGAACCCTTGACATTGGATTTTGAATGAGCCCGTTGTCGAAACTTATTTTTTATTTAGTTAAAATAATTTCTTAATAAAAGTTTTTTAATGCAAGGCATTCATTGTGACGACACATATCGATGGTAAAAAACTACGAAGTTTAATCAACTATTTCAAACTTAAATAGTTTTAATCAATTATTTTGAATTTTAATTGCCTTAATGCTATTTATTTAGAGAGGTAGCAATCTTATTTTAATAAAGAGAAGAAACTAGAGGTTATCAATGGATTGAACTTGGGAGTTAAGTTGAGGGTTAATTTTACCGAAAGGCGTGCCAATTTGGGGGAAAGAAAAGTTAAGGGGCAACTTGACCTAAGGTCTCAAGCTTTGGGGGTGATTTTTGTTTTGAGCCAAAAATAAATTGTTAATCATTTATTTTTACAACGTCCATAACTTTTTTTAAACAAATACACTTAAGCACGTTTAAACTTATTGTCTTTAAGACGTTGAAACAATAACGATGTTAATAAAATTGAAATTCAAATAATAAAAAATATTAATTTACGTTAACAATTCTTTCAATTTAAGATTTTTTAGATCAATGATACATGAACCGAGTTTAAAAGAAAAATATTATGTTTGTTTGTTTATTTTTAAAGGTTTTTATGTTCATGCTTAGTTCGTTTTCACTTAAATTTTTAATATTGTGTTCGTTTTTTATTTTATTTTTGAAGATGTTCATATTCGTTCGTTTAGCATTTACAAACATATTCATCTAATGTTCACAAACATGTTAGTTTATATGTTTGTGAATATATTCATTTAATGTTCGTTTAACGTTCGCGAACATATTCATTTATATATTTAGAAATTAAACAAAACTAACTAAATAAATCTTATATAACATGCACATCAACAACAAAATACAATCTTTAATCTTAAAATTTCACTATGTGTTCAATTTAGTCTCGACGTTCACCAATATTTAAAATATAAAAAATAAAAAGTAAATGAGATTCTAAATGAGCTTGTTCATGAACATAAACGAGCTAGTCAATAAATGAACTTATAAACAAGTTTTTTCTTGAACGAAAACAAAAATAACATAACTATGTTTGTGTTTGTTCGTTTATTAAATTAATATAAAAAATTCATACTTGTTTATTTAGCTTAGCAAACAAATATAAACGAATGCTATATGTATGGTTTAACAAACGTTTTTTTCATTTACACCCCTAATTGCGTACAAATAATGAAATTGAATTTTATTTTCGGTTTAAGAGACATATAAGATACAAAATAAATTTAAGAGTCATAATGTTTTTTTTTTCAAACGTTCAAGGACTTTAGATATCATTAAGTCTTCTTTTATATATAAATCAAAAGTTTTTCTTATTAATATGCTGATTATAAGGTAGTTTTTGTTCGAAAGACTCTAATCTATTTTACAATGAATGCTCAAACATCCCTACATACGTCGTGCTCGAGTCCGAAATCACTAAAAATAATTATCATCTTATAACCAATAAGATCGTTTGGTTCGTACTATAAAAATATAATATAAATCAAAAGTTTTTTTTAATAAATTTGGGATAAATACAAAATAATAATTGTTCAAAGATAACTCTTTATCTTTTTATATTAAATGCTCGTACTCGTAACATTCTTAATGTTTTAATCTAAAACCCAATAAATAATCACAATTATTTTATCAGAAGTGGCTGGGTCTATACATATAAATGCTCAATTAAGTATAATAAAAATATAATTGAAAAAAATTAAAGGGGCGATGAAGATATGGTTTCTAATGAATATAGCCGATAAAGATGGAAGTGGAAAGATGACGTGTTTGACATTTGTGGATGTGTATCGAGTATCGACAATTGAGTCTGATAGTATATTGTTGTAATCAAACAAAAGTTTGTTTGAATATGAAAATCTTCACTGCATACAATTCATATTAAAAATTATTTATGATTATTATTTAATATATTGTTTGCGTATAAAATAATGATATGCATTTGAAAATAAAATAAACTTAATTTCTTTTTTTTAATAATGACGTTTGTGTATAAAATTATAGTAGATATTATATTAAATATAAAGATAAATTATAGGTGTGATATCTTAATTATCACTTTTATTTAGTCATCTAAATGTTTTTTAAAAATGATGTTGACGTGTCACCATAAAGTAATTTTACGTCATCTTTAAAAAAATTTAAAAATGTCACGACTGCAGTTTTATTAAATTTTTAACGGCATGTGAACAAAATGAAACCACAACGTAACATTAAGTGTGATTTTAAACTAAATATTAATTAGATAAGTAAAATAGAATAAAAAATAATAATTAAAGTATTAATAGTACAATTTACCTTAAATATTAACTTAAGCATTTTCATATATATATATATATGCATCCATTCATGCATACAACAATAACTCAAAATGGAGAATGAAGTTTAATGATAAGACTTGGAGAATCTTTTCATCTCCACATCATTCTGCTCATCCACCATCCAATCGAGAAATCTCATGATAAAATATTATACTATACAACACAGATAAGCTAAAATAATAATAAAATATTTGTTGAAAAAAAGAGTGAATTTATTGATGGATTTAATATTTAAATTAAATTATATTCCTTTTAAATTTATATCGTAAATTATAAAATAGTTTCCTGACTATTTGTTATATTTCAAATTTGTCCTTTTATGTTAAAAATTGACAATCGTCTAAGCTGAACTTTAATACTACTGAGATATGATAGTCATTTGAGATTATGAGATCAGATTTTATCATATCTCAATCAGCATATTAACATCTAGCTCAGACTGTCGTTAACTTTTTAACGAAATGATGAGTTTGAAATTTAATGAATAATTGAATGATAATTTGATAACTTAGTTGAGGGACTCAATAAAGTAATTTTTAATAATTGAGATATCATTTTATAACTTTTAATAATTGAATAATTTGTTAAAATTATATCCCATATTAGGTATCAACTTTATTGATGATTGAAAAAGCCGTTACAACTCCAATTTTCCCGTCAGATGGTTTGCTTTAAGAATTTTACGTTTATCAAGACTTATTCCAATACCGATAAGTGTGGAATCGATGGGTGAGGCCTAATACCTTTATTAGTGTGTTTTGTTATCTCAGTTATCCAATAATTAAGGCAGCATTACACTTAAAAAAACAGATTATTTCCTACAAGTGCTAAATGTATAATATAGTCAGTGACAGAAATAATGCAAAAAAGGAAAATCAAAATCAAACAATCATATGAATCAATATGCAAAGGGTGGTTGCGTCATACCCCACCACTGAGAACAATTTTTATTGCTATTTGTGATTAATAATAAGACATCAGAACACTGAACCGAAAAGCACCGAGACAAGGGTGAGTTCACGTGTAGAAATCTCGTAGGTCCACTAGGGAAGCCGTTAATGGGGACCTAGAAAAGAAGAGATTGGCCGTTTCTTCCCACTGGAGACAGTGGACAACTCCTAACAAAATTGCAACCGGTGCCATTTGTTCCCTTCATCATATAGAAACTCTTAGGGTTCTTCTTTACCTATTTTCGTCATCCTTTCTCTCTCTCTCTCTATTGCTGTTTCTTTCTGAGGGATACACCATTAGAATTGTATGGTCATGGAGGAAATTGGATTTTTTTCTTCTTCTGAATTCTTGGTTTTTGTTCGAGGGAAATTAGATAAAAGGTGGAAGCGGCAGAATCGGATCTTAGGTAATATTGCCTTTTTATGTCCAGGAAGTGCATTTTTATTTTGGCATCTTAGGGAATCTTGTAATCATATATAAAGTTAAACACCTTTTTAAAGATTTTTCTTAAGCCAAACAAGGTAAAGAAAAAACTGTTTTTTTTAGTTGAGAAGGAGATTCAAAGCCGTGCAAGAAAAGAACACTATAGGTGCCTTTGTCCTTGTTGCCTATATAAAAGAAAGAAAGACTCATATTTCTATTATCCTGTGTGATTAAATTTGGCGGATATAATGGATTTCTGGCCAGAGTTTCTTGCAAGTAGCTGGGGAAAAGAATTTGTTGCCGGAGGTTTCGGTGGCATGGCAGGCATCGTCTCCGGTTATCCGCTCGATACCCTCAGAATCCGGCAACAAAGCACGGATTCCGGCTCTGCCTTTAGCATCCTACGTCGGGTTGTTGCCAGGGAAGGACCTGCTGCACTCTATAGAGGCATGGCTGCACCATTGGCATCAGTAACCTTTCAGGTTATTTTCTCTCATCCATGGTGGTTGTTCATTGAAATTTTCGATCTAAAGGTTTCTTTTTGTGTGATATTTCTTTTATGTTTTGAGTTTTAAGATATCCTTCTTTTATTTGGCATAGAACCTCATCAGGATCCATCTGATTAACTCGTCAATCTTATGTGGTACCCAAATTTCCATGTTTATGTT